CTGGGATTACAGGCATGAGCCACCACGCTTTGCTGCTTCTCTTTTTGTGTGTAAAAATTAGGAGAGTAGCCGGGCGCGGTGGCTCAAGCCTGTAATCCCAGCACTTTGGGAGGCCAAGGCGGGTGGATCATGAGGTCAAGAGATCGAGACCATCCTGGTCAACATGGTGAAACCCCGTCTCTACTAAAAATACAAAAACATTAGCTGGGCATGGTGGCGCGTGCCTGTAATCCCAGCTACTCAGGAGGCTGAGGCAGGAGAATTGCCTGAACCCAGGAGGCGGAGGTTGCGGTGAGCCGAGATCACGCCATTGCACTCCAGCCTGGGTAACAAGAGCGAAACTCCGTCTCAAAAAAATTAGGAGAGTAATACCTGTTTTGCAGAATAGCTGTGAATATTGAAATGACATTTACATACAGACACATGGTAAATACTAACAATTGGTGTCCCCCCACCCCCATGTAAAGTTTGCTAAGGCCAGACTTGGTAGCTCATGCCTGTAATTCCAGCACTTTGGGATGCCAAGTTGGGTGGGTCTGTTGAGCCCAGGAGTTCAAGACCAACTTGGGCAACAAGGCGAAACCTTGTCTCTACCAGAAAACAAAAAAATACAAAAATTTGCTGGGTGTAGTGGCACACACCCGTAGTCCTAGCCACTTGGGAGGGTGAGGTGGGAGGATGGCTTGAGTCCAGGAGGTAGAGATGGTTGAAATGACCCAGTGACCTGAGATTGTGCCGCTATACTCCAATGTGGGTGATAAAACCAGACCCTGTCTCAAAAAAAAAAAAAAAAAAAAAAAGCTAAAATCTAAAATGGTGTAGTGGGGGTTTGGTAGCAAAATTTCTTTCAAAAGCTTGAATCCAGCAGGGTGCAGTGGCTCATGCCTATAACCCCAGCAGTTTGAGAGGGCTAGGTGGGCAGATCACCTGAGGTCAGGAGTTTGAGACCAGTCTGACCAACGTGGTAAAACCCTTTTCTACTAAAACTATAAAAATTCACTGGGTGTGGTGGCAGCTGTCTGTAATCCCAGCTACTTGAGAAGCTGAGGCAGAATTGCTTGAACCCAGGAGGTGGAGGTTACAGTGAGCTGAGATTGCGCCATTGCACTCCAGCCTGGGTGACAAGAGCAAAAATGTCATCTCAAAAAAAAAATGTTTGAATCCTAGAAAGCCCCAAGAGGGGCAGATTATTTCCTTCCTGTCAGACCTGCATTGTTCTTTGTTCTAGGTTTAATCAGTTTCAGAGTGCCACAAGAGCCCCTGAAATATAATGAGTGTATGTATGATTGTTTGGGCTATCTCACCTTTTTTTTTCTTTCTTTTCTTTTTTCTTTTGAGACAGAGTATTGCTCTCTTGCCCAGGCTAGAGTGCAGTGGCGTGATTTCGGCCCACTACAGTCTCCACCTCCTAGATTCAAGTGATTCTTCTGCCTCAGCCTCCTGAGTAGCTGAGATTACAGGCACGCGCCACCATGCCCAGCTAATTTTTGTATTTTTAGTAGAGACAGGATTTCACTATGTTGGTCAGGCTGATCTCAAACTCCTGACGTCATTATCTGCCTGCCGTGGCCTCCCAAAGTGCTGGGATTACAGGCGTGAGCCACCTCACCTGGCCATCTCACCTTTTCTTAGACTAGAAATGTATTAAAAATAGAAATTTTGTTTTTCTGTGTAATGCTGTGATTAAATTTGTCTCTATTATTAAGCACTAGAGCTTTTTTTTTTTTCCCCCACTCTTGTTGCCCAGGCTGGAGTGCAATGGCCACAATCTCAGCTCACTGCAACCTCTGCCTCCCAAGTTCAAGTGATTCTCCTGCCTCATCCTCCAGAGTAGCTGGGATTACAGGCGTACACCACCACACCTGGCTAATTTTGTGGTTTTGGTAGAGATGGGATTTCTCCATGTTGATCAGGCTGGTCTTGAACTCCTGACCTCAGGTGATCCACCCGTCTCAGCCTCCTAAAGTGCTGAGATTACAGGC